CCTCTCCAATCAGCATATAAACGCTTCCACAGTACCGAAACGGCCCTGCTTAAAGTTCAGAATGACATTCTTATCGCTATTGACAATCAGAAATGTGTAGTTTTGCTGTTGTTGGACATGTCAGCCGCGTTTGACACATTTGACCATGAAATCCTATTGGAACGAATGTCAAAACGGTTTGGAATTAAAGACAAGGTGCTAGAATGGTTTCAGTCCTACCTTCAAAACAGGACACAAACTGTGATGATTGATGGCGTTAAATCTGCTGCTAAAGATCTAAATTGGGGAGTTCCGCAAGGCTCAGTTCTGGGCCCCATTTTGTACCTGTTATACACCTCGCCCATTGGAGATATTATTAGACGCCATGAACTTGACTTTCATTTCTATGCTGATGATTCGCAACTATATCTTGCTTTTGAGCCAACTACAGATGAACAACCGGGCGCACTTGTGCGAATAGAAACATGGGTTAGAGAGATCGACTCGTGGATGGTTAGTAATAAATTGAAGCTAAATGGAGACAAGACAGAGTTGTTAGTAATAAATGCACGCCATCGCCCATGCCCGCTTATAGATCATATAGATATATCCAATTTTAAAATTCAACCATCTGACACAGCTAGTAACATTGGCGTAACATTCGACCGACTTATGTCTCTAGATCAACATGTGACTAAAATCTGCAAGACATGTTTTTTTCATTTGCGTAAAATAGCAAAGATAAGAGCTTATCTATCTACAGCAGACACTGAAACTCTGGTCCACTCATTTATTACTTCTAAACTGGATAGCTGTAATTCTCTGCTATATGGGTTGCCAAAACTCATGATTGATCGATTATAAAATGTGCAGAACAGTGCAGCGCGTTTGATAGCAAGACGTAGAAAATTTGATCATATCACCCCTGTTATGAAAGAACTGCACTGGCTTCCCGTAAGCCAACGTATCATTTACAAGATACTTCTCATCACCTACAAAGCTCTAAATGGTCTTGCACCAAGCTACATTAGGGATATGCTACAACCGCACAAATCAACAATGAATCTACGTTCATCGATGAAAGGACTACTCTCAATACCCCCCATAAAGTTGGTCAACTATGGTCAAAGATCATTTTCATATGCAGCACCAAAACTATGGAATGAACTTCCAGATTCAGTAGGACATAGTGAATCAATATCTATTTTTAAAACAAAATTGAAGACATATCTATTTAAAAATTTTTATAAGTAATTGACACTAGTTTTACCAATTTTAACTATTGCTAGTTGTATCTATCTAACTGAATTTTTATTTTATTCACTTCTTATATTGACTTTTATATAGTAATTGTAAATAAATTTAAATTTTTAAATGGATTGATGTAAATATATTAAAATTTTCTAAATACTGTAAAGCGCCATTGAGCTATAGGAAATGGCGCTATAGAAATACATATTATTATTATAATTATTATTATTATGTATAAATCTATTTGCTGACGTGACGCCGGCGTCATTTTTTTACAAGATTCCGCAGGCCCTCGCCAGATTGTGTGTGACCTTCCCATGACGCAACGAGGGCCTGCGGAGGAAGCAGCACCTACCCTGGGCTCCGGATACTTGAGAGAGGTTCAACGAGGCGATTCTTTAATCGAGCCGCGCCCGTCACAAAATAAAATGAACGATTCTCGTTCAGTACCTGATAATATGTATAATGTTATAATATTTATGAATTTTGACATAACTGTTTAGATCGAGTATTTATCGTTTCATCATGAAACGTGCATTACGTATTAATGTGCTCAAGCGATTTTGGTTGTGTGAACATTTCTCCAAAATCAATTTAAACTAGAGCGGTTTGACTACATAAAATATTGTAGTAAAAGTTTATTTGTCCAATGCATATTAAATTAAATATAGTTTGAAACAATTCTTCGACCCCATCATATTTATACGCACATTTCTAGGCATGAGTTTAGCTTCTTCTCTGTGAATTTGCAGCCGAAATAATTCGCCTATTTTCGCAGTACGTGTTCCACAAGTAGGACACTACATTGTCAAACACTTCGGAACGCAATGAAAGCTCGCGATATTGCTACGATAGCTTGCCATATTTATCGGAGGAGCATTTGAAAGGAAAGTTCTTCGACATTAGACGGTCTACCATCACTACGATTGCCGACGATATACATGTACGAGGTGAACACAATGTACAAAGACCGTTGTTGCTCGTTGCTATGGCTGCGCCCGCGCTTCAAGCTGTCATTTCCAGCTCAGAATTCGTTTCTACTTCGTGTGAATTCAAAACAAGGTGAATCATTCACACAATGTCAATTCAGTAATTGGTTAAACTAGCCAAGGCTATCATAACTCTGATGTGGGCACCCTGTGGATTGTCCTCTGAAGATCAAAACCACTGATCTCAAAACTAGTGGATAGACCATCTGCTATATAGAAATGAACTACGGTGTTTGCATGCCCATCGTGCTTTTCGAGTTTAAGGGTCGAGATTTTGCGATTTTCAATTTTTTAAGTAAATCGCGATTGACTTGTGCGTTTATGTAGCTATGCTTGTGAATTACCTAAAAAAAACTTGGCAGTTATCATTGTTAAACCAGAGTTTATATTTGTGATCATAGCGGCGATAGTGGACAGCAAATCAGGAATGATTTCTCGCAAACGAAAAGAATATTTGTCCAACGTATATCCTGTAATATTTTTACAAGATTTGTCTACCATCAATATATGAAATTTCAAAATTTAGATTGCGTACATTTCACGTCAACGTGTGGTGGGTGTTGCATGGGAAGGTTTCAAGGTTGGTCGTTTTGGACAGCTTTGTCTTATACAGGTAAGAAACATATCATCCTGTACCGGATGTGTAATTTCATGTACCGGGTGTGTAATTTCATGTGTCGGATGTGTAACTTCATGTACCGGATGTGTAATTTCATGTACTGGATGTGTAATTTCATGTACCGGATGTGTAATTTCATGTACCGGATGTGTAATTTCATGTGCCGGATGTGTAATTTCATGTACCGGATGTGTAATTTCATGTACCGGATGTGTAATTTCATGTGTCGGATGTGTAACTTCATGTACTGGATGTGTAATTTCATGTACCGGATGTGTAATTTCATGTACCGAATGTGTAATTTCATGTGCCGGATGTGTAATTTCATGTACCGGATGTGTAATTTCATGTACCGGATGTGTAACTTCATCCCCCCCCCCCGAAAATCCCCGAGAATGAGAAATTAAAGCTATATACATAGCAAATTAATTCTACAGTTTATTTGTGAGTATTTTTAGGAAAGTGGAATTCCTAATTTCAATTGGTATTGAATTCCATACCACTGCTCCGTTATATTCGAGACTATTTTTCAAAAATTTGGTGTTTGGTTTAGGGATAACAAAATTGTAGTCATGACCTCGTGTACCATGACTGTGAATTAAATTCGCTCGATTAAATGGCTGTGAAAGATAAGATGGGCCTAATTTGTGGTACACTTTGAACATTAGACAAGATTTTTGTTTCATATTCGCCTATCTTCTAGAGTTCTAGTGTCGACCAATTTAAGTTATTTAAAATTTGGAAGGATGTGTTTGCACCGCCTGTCCCCAGTTGTTGTGACAAGTCGTTATCACCTTCTTACAAGATTGATACAAGTTACAGACTTGCTACAAGTTGTTCCAACAAAATTAATACAGGCTGTTCGTAACAAGTTGCTACGAGCTTGTTGGCAGACGATATCAGATATCAACTTGTTGCGAGTTGGCCTAATCAAGCTTGTTACAACATACAGTAATAGCAACTCACTTGTTCCTGACCTGTCAACAACTGGGATCAAACAGTGCAAACACATCTTCGTGATAAGCTGCGAGATTTTTACTATTACTGTCGTTCCAATTGAAGTGTTGCTCAAATATTGATTCAATACATTACCTCGGGCTGACCAATTCATTTCATCAAGTTCCTCGAGATTAGGGTTGGGCGATATTAAAAAAATCATCTCACGATTATTGTCGAGGAAATTATCACGATATTCGATAATATCGCGATAAATGCAATAAAAACAATGACAAATAAAACAACAAATTAAAGTAATAAGCAGGCTTTTTCTTGTCTAATATTTACTGTTCATCAACTTGAACTGTCTATGCAGTGTCTACTGTGTCTCCGCAGGCACAAATGCCGTGGACACACAGCGCAAACATAGCATGCAATTTCATTGTACAGCGGATTAATACATAAATATTAGCTTTAATATTGTATTAAATTCATATTTAATTCAGGAAATTGTTTTAATTCTTTTAAAAACTATATTTTCTAGGAATTGAAAGAAGTTTTTAGGATTTTATAAAAACTATATACACACATGCGAAGCAATATCACGATAGTCATCGAGCATGACGATAATTTCGATATATCGTCGCTCAAGTTTCCACCTTCGATACAATAATCATGGTTGAAAATATCGCGATAAATCAAAATATCGAAATATCGCCCAACCCTACTCGAGATATTCATACACTTCCTGTGAAAGAGCCAATTCCAAGTATTTGATCATTTCTGGTCACTTCCTTTCTATTTATAATTGGTTAGTTGCACAAACAACAAAGGTGATTGGTGCATTCAAACTATTCAACAGGAAGTTTACAATTATACTAGGAAGTGTATGAATATTTCGAGGAACTTGATGAAATGAATTGGTCAGCCCGAGGTGATGTATTCAATCAATATTTGAGCAACACTTCAATTGGAACGACAGTAAGAGTTTAGAATTTTGTGACGTCATCGGGCGATCGATACGAACAACTATATCGTTAACAAAGTTTTCGTTCGATTCGACTGCGAGTTGGTGGTTCTTATAAGGCTATTATAACTGCATATGTTTATTTAAAATATACTGTACTGTTAGAACAAGTCACAGATACTGATCACTTTCATCTGTCAGAGTCATTTGTAAATCTGTAAACATGTTCCTATTAATTTTGTACTTATCATAAAAATGTTGTACATGATAAACGCACATAAATATAATTTCTATACTGCAATAATATTTATGTCGAAAATCAATACCAGTCAACAGTTTTAAATAACATAAAACAAAAGATAATCCAAAATGACTAGCATCTTGAAATGATATGGAAGGCGTGAATGAATTTTCGATGTTTCGATTTTATTGCAAAATCATCATGATCATGCAGACTTACTTTACATACTACAGGTCCAAGTACGCTAAATCTTATACATACAAACTGTGGTGTGGCATGACGTCGTTCCAATAGACCTTATGCATAATGACGTCACAAGGCTTGATGCCCGCAATGAATGCTGGTCTTAGTAGTCATTGCCCGGGAAAATTAAACAATTCAAAATGGCCACTATCCAAATTTTTCCGGGCGTTGACTACTAAGACCAGCATTCCTCGCGAGCATCAAGCCTTGTGACGTCATTATGCATAAGGTCTATTGGAATGATGTCC